CACCCCCCACACTCGCACACATTTTACAAGAGTGAAGTCACACTACACAGGTTTTTTGTAACTTGCTTTTGCCATTTGATCCACCATGGCCATTTCATTACATGCAGATCTAATTCTTTGTTTTCTTGTTTCTAAGTTCTAGTGTCACGTGGGGACATTAGTTTCAGCTCCTGCGCTTTCTATCTGCAGACACACATTAGAACATCACCCCTGTCTACTAGGGATTACACTGTGTCTAATATCCTTAGGTCAGAATTCAATTTTACAACTTTGACTTTTAGTTCTTTTATTATGTCTGACAAAAAAGAAAACTCCTTAACTTGCTTTTAAATTCTATACACACGCATGTGCCTATATTAATGTAAAAGTTGGTACTGGCTGTATACAAACACATTTTCTAAAGGCATTTCTATATGTTTTGTGTGAGATGGGGGTTATGTTGCATTATTCGGGTCTGTAATATGTTTTTAACTTCTGGAAGTTTCCGTCTTTTTCTCATATTAAAATTTCTTATCCACAAATAATACTTTCTTGCTTTTTTTGCATGATTACAGCTCTAACCTTAATAAACAATTGTATAATGTCAATTAGATTTGGAATAGGAGTACGTATCGATAGACACATGGGCTCCTTCAACCATCTTGATCCAATATAGGAAGTTTACTTATTTATTATTTTTTACTGTATCTTTTTCTAGTATATCACTGCTTTTAGAAAATTAAAATACCATAGAGCTTTAATTTCTACATATTATCACTTGATTTCAATTTTTAAAAATTTGAATATGTCTATCATATTTCTGATCACCCTCTAACCCATATATTAAACTTTTAATCTCAAGACCCATTTATTGTCTTAAAAAGTACTGAGAATTCCATAGAGCTTTTGTTTGATATGGGTCAGACCTATCAATATTTACCATATAATAAATTAAAATTGAGGACATTTAAAAATATTTATTAACTTATTTTAAAAACTACAATAAAGCCACTAACAGGTTAACATAACCAACATATTTTTATGAAAAAGTAACTATTTTCCAAACAACAACAACAAAAAATAGTAAGAATGGTTGTTTTACATTTTACATTACAAAATCTTTTTAATACGTGGCATAAAAGAACAGCTGGATTGTCCTCTGTGTTCCTGCTTTCAAGCTGTTGGTATATGTTGTCTTGGTGGAAGTATATAGGGAGAGTCTATCGTCACACAGGTATGAGGCTGGAAAAGGGTAGACCTCACAGACCTCCTAAAAAGGTCTGTGGAGCCCCAAATATATCTTAAACCATACCTTGAGTACCACTGATGTAAGCAAATTTTGTTGAAAAATTAGTTTGGAAAACTCTTCTGGAAATTGTGGAAGATAAGAGGGAAATAATACAGCAGTGCTATATGAAAGATATACAAAATTTTAAAAAATGTTTTACCTGCGTTAAATTGTGAAGGAAGTTCCTGTTGGGAAAAAGAGGAATCATATTTTAGTAGACAGTATGCTAAATATTAGTTTGAATATTCTACTTTCAATACACATGTCTCTAAATCTTGGAATATTCTCTTCATATTTCATTAGAGATGAATTATTACGTGCTAAATGTAAAAACAACTACATGTGGCCCTGGCTGAGTAGCTCAGTTGGTTAGAGCATCATCCTGATACACCAAGGTTGAGGGTTCGATCCCTGGTCAGGGCTCATACAAGAATCAACCCGTTAGATTGGTGCTTCCCAAATAATAACGTACATACAAGTGACTCCAAGATCTTGTTAACGCGCAGGTTATGGTTCGGTAGGTCTGGAATGAGGCCTGAGATTCTGCGTTTCTAAGTTCCCGGGTGGTGCTTGTGATGCTGGTCCTCGGCCACACTTTGAGTAGCAAGGCCCTATGCTGCCAATAAATGCATTGGCAGTGGAATGAGCAAAAATACTCATTCAGTGGCACACCTTGGCATCGAGCAGGCACGAGCTATGAATATTCTTGTTTGAACATGCATGAGTCTCAAAGACATAATGTTCAGAGAAAGAAGCGAGTCACAGATGAATACACAATTTGATTTAAATAACATCCCCAAACTGACAAAACTAAACAATTTCTTGCAATCAGATATTGGTAAACTATAAAAAAGCAAGGAATCGTTTCATATACAATATTCAGGATAGTAGTGACTCTTGGGGGATGAGTAGGATGTGATCAGTATGGACATAAAGCTTAGTCTAAGGTCCTGGTAATGTTCTGTTTCTTGACTGCGTCATGGACTCATGGGTATTAGTTTAATTCTTATTTGGTGTGTTTACAGGTGATAGATTGTGGACATTTTATAACCTCTGTAACAGAAAATACTTAGATCCCCCTGAATTCTCTCTTTTGGGCAAGCCTGTTCCTTTCCCCCATCCCCCTGCGGGTGCTTCTTCTGGTTTTGTTTTCATGAAGGACTATATCTGGATGAGGGCAGACTGGAGGCCGATCTCTTTCACTAGCTCTTGGGGCTCAGTGTGTGTGACTGAGGCTGGAAACCCACGAAAATGGCTATAAATGCTTTCTTGGTAGATTCTCCTCTCTGATGTTCCTATGGTCTCTCCTTGGGGGAAGTAGTAAGTAGCCCATTTGACCACAGAGGCAGGTTCTGCTCCCCAATTCAGCTGTACAAGGAACCCCCCCCCCAATTTTCCCTCATCTATTTCTCAATTGGTTCAAAACCCACAGGGGGAAAGCTGGTGGTTGCTTGGCATCCCTGAAACCCCCAACAAGGACAGAAGCCTGCTAGTTTCATGGTAGAGACTTGACCCTCGCTTTCTGGGAAGGTGGCAGTAATTCGGAGAATGGCTGAATGTATGCTCCTGGAGGGGCTTGTGAAATGCAGTTACCAGGACTTTCAATCCAAAAACTGCGCATAAACTGCTGAGCCATCTGACTTTAGGGACCATGTGGACCAGGACAACGAAACTATCAACAACCACCATGCTTTCTTGAAGACACCAGTATTCTGATCTGTTCTGCCTGGGTCATGTGCCAATCCTCAGCTAAGCACGTGGCCCACAAAATATGGAGTAATAGAGTTCGTGTCATATAAAAATTACATGAAAATAACCATTTCCTCACAGATTAGAGGAGGGGTAGTTCCCCCAAAAGAAGGGATGTTAAGTAGATAAAAAGAAATAGGTACATTATAGTTATCTAGTGAGCTGAGGCTATAAAGACAGTTCTTTGTATCCTATACAATGCTTAGGATATTGTCTTGACTATGATACTAAAAGATATTCTGATTCATTGATTTTTTTTTACTTATCGAGTGATTTTATAATGCAGTTAATTATTTTTCTTGTACCAGTTTTCCCTTCTTAGTTATACTCATTCATTCTCATGTTACAGTGGGTTTGAAGAGCTACCCAAGACAGATAGTCCTTTTGGAATATAAAGTTTATAACAGAAATAAAAGAACCTTGTAGTCTGAAAAACTGGAGTCAAATCCCAATTCTATCTTTTAGTGGCTGTGTATTTGTGTCCAAATTATTTAATCTATTCAAGCTTCCATTTCTGCATTTATAAAATAAAGATAATAATCCTTACGTTTGTGTGTTTATTATGACAAGTTGAGAGAGATAATTTACATAAAATAGAAGCAGTACATGTTCAAACAGTGGTTGCTATTGCTATTTTTATTATTCGTTCTTCAATGTAAGTTTGGCAGAATATTTGAGGTTATCTTGATTGGTGGATGAAAGCTATATGGAAACTATAATGTGGATAACCCATTTGTTAATTTTGTTGAAACTTAAAGCTAAATACTCTTAAAAAGCATTCATAACCTTTGTATTATGCAATATTGTGCCACTTACTTAACTTTATAATACCACAGAAAGCATGTATTAGAACTTTCCACAGATAAATGACGTTCTTCTTCTACATCCTAAAAGAAAATGCAAAAGAAACTTCAACATACGAAGCTAACTTTAAACTAAATACAAATTTAGATACAGGCATCAACATCATTATTTCATAACTTATAATGTGCTAATTATCTAAGATTAGAGGAAGTATAATAAATAAATACATGGTTTATTCATAAAATACTAGTTCAATTCTTTAGTTACTCTCTGTAATTAGGATGTGAGACCCCCTCAGCTGGGAGTACTATTATTGCAACCATGGTAACTGGGGATTTAACATACCAATAAAAAGGCTAAGGTGAAAGTCATATATCATTTCATAACTTATAATTTGTGGAGAGAGATCTAAAAAGTAATGACATGTGACAGTAATTTGAAAATACCTCTTATTTATAGTTACAACTTATACTATTTAAAACAGGTTAAATTAGGTTGAAAACTCAAAAAAAAGTGGGGGGGGAAATAAAGCGTAACATGGATGATTATGCAAGTTTAATGAGTTATTAAAATCAACTTACTGAGTTTATAACAATTGGTTTTATAGTCTGAAAACCAGGAGAGGAACAACGCAGTTCTGTCGTGGGCGATCTAGCATTTAAAGAAAACACGAAAGGAGAAATAAGTGAAGATGCATATGAGATTAATAAAAATTTTCCTGCTAATCCTTGAGCCTAAAAACTTATGTATGCTAGTAAGAAAAAGAAAAAAGATAGCAATATTTGACTTCTACTTTGATTTCATTTTCCTTTTCACATCTATTTAATAGGAATAAATTTACATCAAGTCACAGCCTTGAGTCTGAATGCCCACACGATATGAATGCTTTGTCACATGTAAATACACATACACGTTGATATTCACGACAAAAATATTACCTTTTATTTTTCACAGAGCAAGCTGCTGGCACACTCCACTCAGAAAATGAATTTCCTTCATACTCTAACTTAATCTAAAAAATAAGATAAAATAGTTCAAACAAAAAATTTGCTCCAAAATTTTCATCTCATCGTTCAGATGTAGGGTTCAATTTTCTGGGTCCTTATTATTTAAAGAAATAATTAAATTTCATTTCTTTGAAATTATGTAAAGTAATACAACAAAGGAAAAGTAACAACTTTTCTGGGACACTCAGTAGTCTGCTCCAAAATTATAAGATTTTTATTTCAAAAATAATATATTAAGCCCAGCTGGGGTGGCTCAGTGGTTGACTATTGGCCCATAAACCAAGAGGTCACTGGTTCGATTCCCGGTCAGGGCACATGCCGGGGTTATGGGCTCCATCCCCAGTAGGGGGCGTGCAGGAGGCAGCCAATTGGTGTTTCTCTCTCATTGATGTTTCTCTCTACCCCTCTCCCTTCCCCTCTCTCTAAAATCAATGAAAACATATTTTAAAAAATAATATATTAAGTATCTAGGAGGTGACTGGTACTCTAGTAGGTTCTGAGGATAAAAAAAGAAGACAAATGAGACATGAGGTTTTTTTATTTTTAATTTTTGAAAAAATATTTTTAATTGATTTCAGAGGAGGAAGGGAGAGGGAGAGAGAGAAACATCNTCAGAGGAGGAAGGGAGAGGGAGAGAGAGGGAAACATCAATGAGAGAGTCATTGATCGGCTGCCTCCTGCACGCCCCCTACTGGGGATTGAGCCCACAACTGGGCATGTGCCCTGATGGGGAATTGAACTGTGACCTCCTGGTTCATAGGTCGGTGCTCACCCACTGAGCCACGCCAGCCAGGCATGACATGAGTTTTTTAAAATTAAATCACAAAATACTCAAATCAACAGTACTTATTTTTGCTACTTACATATTTAAGGACTATTATTGGAGAGGGGGATCTATATTAGGAAGAAGTGAAATGAAGGATATGAAACAAAAATAAAAGAATGACACTGTGCTATACAACTGAGTATGATTAACTCTGCCCTCTGTCCTATGGTAAAATAAAAAAAATTAATACTTAATTATAGTTTAAAAAAATTAAACACTTACAGTACTTCTGGTATTAAAAATGCCGTAATGTGGGCTGTTAGTGTGATATCTGTGGAGGAAAAGGTCAAATATTAATATTAAAACGAATTTCTCCTCCAAAGAAGAGGTATTCTATGCATGGTCAGAGCATGCCTGGGCTGCCAAGAGCTTTACATTTCTGCCCAGGCATCTCCCTGGAGAGCATGGTCAGGGCTAAAACTGAGGATTATCCCTGAACTCTACCCACCACTCGAGGGGTGTTAGGGTTTGCTCAGTATTTGAAGACACTGGGATTAGAAGTACAGATGCTCCTCGACTTATGATGGGGTTATGTCTCAATAAACCCTTTATAAGTTGAAAATACTGTAATTTGAAAATGCATTTAACACACCTAACCTACCAAACGTCATAGCTCAGCCTAGTCTACCTTAAATGTGCTCAGCACACTGACATTAGCCTACAGTTGGGCAAAGTCATCTAAGATATAGCCTATTTTATAATAAAGTGTTAAACATCTCATGCAGTTTACTATGCATATTGTTTTCACAGCACCATGAAGTCAAAAAATTGTTAAGTGGAACCATCACATGTCTGCAAATACTTTTATATCTTGTTTTTGTTTTAAGTGAAAACTGTTGAAGACTATTGGCTATATTTCCTTCACTTATGAACTGAGTTTGAAAAATGAATAAATATTAAAAACTTATGAAACGGTATTGCTTGTTTGAAACACTGAAGAGCAAATTTTTGTGAGTCCTTATTCATTATTATTTCTATTATTCAGGGTACTTTAATTTCTGTCCGTATGATCTATCTGAAGCAGCATTGTCCAGTATAAATGTAATGCAAGCCACTTATGTAAAATTAAACATTTTCTAGTGGCCACATTAAAAAAGCCAAAAACAAGTGGAATTGATTTTAATAATATATTTTATTCAACATGTAATCAATATAAAACAATTATTAGTGAGATCATTTACATTATTTTCTTGGTACTGTCTTTGAAATCAAGTGTGTATGTATTACACTTACAAAAGATCTTAATTTGGACTACCCATATTTTGAGTGCTCAAAAGTCCTATGTGGCCTGTGGCTCTCACAAAGCATTATCTTTATTTTAAGTTTAAAATTTCAGTTTACCTTTAATATTACTTTGTATTGGTTTCAAGTGTATACCATAGTGATTAGACCACCACATACTTTACAAAGTGTTCCCCCTGGTATTTCCAGTACTCACTTGGCACCATACATAGTTACCGTAATATAACTGGCTATCTTCCCTAAGCTGTACTTTACATCCCCATAACTACCAATCTGTACTTCTCAATCCCTTCACCCCTTCCATCCAGTCCCCTAACCCCCCTCCCCTCTGGTAACCACCAGTCTGCTCTCTGTATCTACGAGTCTTTTTCAATTTTGTTTATTTTGTTCTTTAGATTCCACATGGAAGTGAAATCATATGGTATTTGCCTTTCTCTGGCTGACTTATTTCACTTAGCATAATACCTCCGCGTTCCATCCATGCTGTTGCAAATGGTAAGATTCCATTTTTCAGGGCCAAGTAATATTCCACTGTATACATATGTACCACAGCTTTTTTTTATCCACCCCATAAGACAGGGTTTCTCACCTTTTTATAGAGAAGAAACTAAAGGCTTAAAATGGTCTCTTAGAATGCTGCATTTTTGCCTGCTCACGACTTCACTGACCTTTCCAGGGCCTCTCTTACTATTTGACCTCTCCTATGTGTCTAGTGCGGTGCCCTGGATCCCTTCCATCTGAAACCTCCATAATGGTTTGATTTATTGTTGATATTCTTACCTTTTAACGTTGCCGGGCAACAATTACTGTTATAGCAAAAACCTCCACTAAATGGGATATTCGAAGGGGATGGCTTTTCTGGTTAATCATCCGTATTTTAACCTGTGTTGAAAATCTTTCTAAAATACTTTGACGCACTTCATTCAACCACTACCTACCTAGTGATCCTAGTGAAGTGTCTCCCCATCCCCCAATCTCCAATCTCTGGGGGCGATTTCGGGGTTCTCGGTGGCGCCTCTCCTCTCTGGCAAAGGCAGAGCGCAGCAGGAGGAGCCAGGTTCAGGGTTCGCAGGCGCGCAGCCTGGTCCAGCTCCTGCGCCCCCAGAGCAGCCAAGTCCTAGCGGCGTCCCCCCCACTTTCTGCCTTCATTCATTGAAAACTTTCGCAAGGGGGCAGCGGGGCGCTGGGGTTCAAGAGCCCGAGGAGCAGACGGCGGCCTGCGCGGGCGGGTGGGCGGTCCCGGGACACGGGTGCGCGGGGAGGGGCCCCAC